TTTGTTACGAACCCCATTCAAAGCATCCCCAGTTTTCATCCATTCATTACCGAGATAGAGTTTACATGTTGCGCATGTCAACTTTACCTTAAAATTAATCTGCCGGCCAGAGCAAGCTTTTTTCACAAATCTTTTTTACCAAAATGTTCGCTATCTTCTCCGCTTTCCGTTGGTATAGTTTTCAAAGCTTTAAACTTCCTTGACGGGTGAGAAAATCAATTACACAGTCGTACGGAAAACTTTTGCAGCTCTTCAATACCGAAGAGAAAGTACCCAAGCAGTGATGTCGACTTGCAGATTTTGCCGAAAGACCACTCCTCTGCTGAGTTATTGTTAAAACAACCGTACGGAAAACTTTTGCGGCAGTAGTGCATATGTGAATGGTCATATCAGCCAACCGAGAATTAAGTAGGTCCAAACGAACTGTACGAATAAAACAATNAGTTGTTTGAGATATGCCGAATATGACGGCAAAGCCAGCTAACATCCAACAGACATAATGAAATATTTTTAAACGAACTGTACGAATAAAACAATAAGATTATTACCGCTAAAAGTGATAAATTAATATGTGTATTAACGCCGCTAGAATCAAAAAAAATTTCACGGATAGCTACATTTTGTTTACCGTTATACATATCATACATCCTCTTAAAATTTGTGTCAAATTTAGCACCATGAATGTAATTTGGAGAATTTGATAATCGAAAAACGTACACGTATGTTTGATAACCAATTGCATTGTTTACATCATATTGTTGAACTATTGAACTTCCATAACCACTGTTATCCATACCACATAATAGTCTGGCGCCGTTAAAACCTGAATAGGTGCATGCTTCCGTGGTACCATTGCAATACACCATCAGTTGTCGATTATTTCTGTCCGATGAATAACCAAAAGCATACGCGGAAGCGCGAAGTGGTGCATTAATTGATAAAACTTGTGCGTCCACAATCTCTTGAACATGTAGACCAGAGATTGGCGATAGAAGTATCATCCCAATACCAGCATTCTGGTTTTTGTTTGTAATCCAAGAATTAGATACTATCAGACTCTTAGCTATATCCCAAAGGGTGCTGCACCATTGCTATATCTTGAAACGAAGGCCATATCTGTAGCCCAACCGATGTCGTCACTGCC